AGATTCATCTACATTTTTTTCCTTAATCTGCACCACAAAAAGGGTCGCATGCACGGTAAGACTCCCGCCAAAACCGATTACCCGGGTGAAGAAAATGTGTCCTGGGAAGTCATACTTCCCGGGACCATGAAACCAGCTGGTTACCCAAAATATGGTAAGTGGACCTTTAAAATATACGCCTTCTTGGAACTTCCAAAACCCCGGTAGTTTATTTCTCGAAGCTTGTAATAAATTTCGGGCGGAATTAACGGCCTGGACAAGTTTGTCAGATTCAAACTGTGGCAGGGATAAGGATCCTGGGTCTACTTTAGGGGACATGATTAGTAAAAAGATGATATGTAGTATGGCAGATGGCTTAATTTTATGCGGGGGGATTCCTAACACGTCCGTAAACTCGTAACCTCCTCCATATCTACGATACATGAATCTCTGCCCTGTTTTAAAAAATGTGACTGGCGAATGGATTTGAAAATTCGGTGGGAAATTGTTTTCCAAGTTGTGCTGATCGGTAACTATGTGGATGTGGGTTCCGGGGGAAATATCCCCCAGTTCAGAGAGCAAGGCGAACACTTCGGTCATCGTGGCAAGTTGACAATTTAGTGGACCAAATACCTAAGACCGATAAATATTTAGTGCTTCTCTCGTTAAACTTTATTCTATTAACACAACCCACGCTTCCATGGCACGCATTTAATTTGAACAGGATACACGTGCCTGGTCAAGTAAATTATGTATACAGGATACATCATTTTGTCGTTTCGTATCCAGCATAAGGGGCAAGAAAAGTTACAAAAGTACATAATTGGATTACTCGGATGAGGCATAAAGAAGTAAATTATTGTTTTCCATAACTTTAATATTTGTTTGTATATTTCATTGTTAGACTCAATTCAAGCCATGAAACGGTTAAAAAGTGTTGTTTGAACCATTTTGCACAAAGCTTAAATGATACAGCAAGCCAATTTCGCCACGAGATTACAAATATGTATTTGGTAGTTATGCACACCCACACAGTTCATATAAAGTCCGCATTCGTATGCATGTTTAATATGAAAAACTTGAATCATTCGTGTTCAACATTATCAAGGAGTTTCATAGGCAAGTTAAATAAAAACAATTGAATTACTGTACGAAGCTTGTTTTTATATCAAAAAGGGTAAACACATTATGTGAATGATTATAAGTACATAATTGAATTACATATCGAGGTATTTTACTCGTCAACATGACCCCTAGATGGAAACGTTTAGTAGAACGATATTCATTTTTCCTTAATGACACAATTTAATTGGAAAAATCGTGACTCTTTTCAAATCGGAATTATCTTGTTACACAAATATATAAACAAATATTGGCATTTTATTAGTATTTCTGGAAAATTCCATATTATTCTGATATATCAATATACATACATACCTATACACTTTAGCAGGGTGGAATATACCTATATATATATGTATATATATATATAAACATATATGTATGATAACATATAAATATATTCATATGTAAGTGTACACATTCTATAAAATGAATATACGATAATTTGGATTTTCGGTGCCAAGCCTAACTACTAAATATATCCTTTAGTATCTATATTTAACAAATTATTGCTATTTATTTCCAAAAATGTATTCGCCAAGTTCGACATACATAAGCTACACAAATTCAATTTCTTAAGATTATAAGTGTTTTTCCCCCTCTCAAAAAACCCCATTCATTTTTACCATCAAACAAAAAATTTTAATTTTTCGAGTCTTAATTACTCAATAGAAGTAATTTCCTTAAGTGCCCCATCACACAATCTCTCGCGTTAGGGAAAACATCATAAAGTCTGACGTACACTTTCGCCTGCTCTTCTACATTAGAATAACCAAACGTTGAGAACTGAACTTCTCTCACTGATTCCACAACTTGGGCCTGGCCATTAATTTTTGCCGGAAAGAAATCCTCCACTCTGGACTCGTCCCCCTCATCGCCGCAAAGAATAAAATACCTGTTCAAAATTTTTATTTTTATTCAAAGTTCAATCATCCCGATTTTTGACTGAAGATTTTCATTCACATTCAATCATTTTCTTTCAAACTCATTTCATTTCACAACATCCGACTTCATTTCTTATTTCGCCCCTTGTATTAAGCATAGGGTGAAGTGTGAAATGAGTTAATGAAATCCTTTCATTCACTCATTCATCTGGAATAACTGAATCTGTTACTCATCTGCATTCAAATCACAGGAAATTCATTTTCATTCACTATCATTATCTATCGTAATAAGTCACATGAATGAATGAAAGTGAACAGGTATGGTCCCCAACTCACCATAATATATGTAAAGATTTTTAAGCTTGGAAATACGGGTAATTTCCATTCTAACGTGTTCCCTTGATCCACCTATTCCATACTGAAGTCAAGTTCTTCCAAAGTTGGGGCGTGTCTCTTTAGTAATTCGTAAAACATTGCTTGCATCTCTTCGACGCCATTGTTAAATTCAAAAAATACTCTCTGACTTTCCCCGAAGGCCAGTTTCTTCAAATTGGTAGGAAGTTGGAGCAGGCACTTCATCCCAGCGGAGTTTAAACATCCACCCAAAATCAAGGAATTGAGAGACCTGAAATGAAATATTTTATTAAATAACACAATTTTTGAAGCAGAAAGAAGTTTTTGTCCTAAAATTTGCCAAATGCAAATTAATTATTAAAAATCTCAATTGTATGTACAAAATTATTTTTTGGGGCCCGTAGGCATATGTCAAGAAACTCGGCTAAAAATATGATACGTTGTTGCTTAGATTGTCACATTTCGAACGAGTTTTGAAGATTTTTTACATGGATATTGAATTTTAAAAGAATCAGGCGCTATTTTTTCAAATTTTTCATACATACGTGTACCTTTTTATTTAAAACTAATTATTTCTGTGTTAATTTTGAAAAAATACCTTCAAAAAAGTTTAGAATAACTTGTGTGCTATATTTAATTCCTTAATGATCAAGAATTTCTTAAACTAACAAAATAACTATTTCAAAACGTGTATCTTTTAAACGTATCTGTCGAGAGTATTGCAATTAATTATTGCCGATTTACATATTTTTTGAATGACGTTTTTTTCATTTTAGATTTACATAAATACCATCCCTGTACCTTTAATTCTTAATTTGGCTAACAACAATGTGCTACTTCCTGTCATCCATGTTCACATTCATTCATTTAATGACGAATGAATAAATTATTCATTCAATATTTAAAATTTGAATGAATATTGAATGATTATATTATTCTGATTTTTGAATAAATGAATATTGAGTAAATATCTATTCAATTCGTGTGAATGAATAATGAATGAATATTTTTTTACTCATTTTAATTCAATCCTTAATATACAGGGAAAGGTCAGAAATTCATCCAATAAATACTGTGAATTTTGAATGACATGAATAATAAAGGAGTGGTGAATAATTTGTATGAAGGTTATTGTGGAGGTTAAGGTGATGTGGAACTGCCACGACTACAAATAATCCAGTTTTAACCAGAATTAATGGTAGCCGTTTTTAGTTCACATTTTAGCTTCATAGTTAAGTTACAAAAAGTCCCGAAGAGACTCACAAGGAGAAGCACCTCAAGTCAGGAGGTCTTCTCACAAAATTATTTATTTGTGCCAATTTTATAGTAATAAAGAGCTTCACTGCAAGCAATTGTTAAATTAAATTGGAATTGTAGTTGTCAAATAAGTCTTCACATTCTTCAGCGACACATTTGTGAGTTATATCGATAGTCTGGTAGATTTTCGTGATACTCAACACACATAACTTTTTATTGTGATATTTTTGTAGATCGACATTTATTTTTGAACTTCAAAAATTAACTGAAATAAGTAAAACATTAAAATTTAAAGTACTGATAAATATTGTTAAATGTGAAATGTGAAATGTTATGTGTAATTAAATATTAGTCATTCCGAAGTACTTAAGATAAGTTTATATAATTTACAATAATTAAAAATTAACCTGATAACTAATTGGTAATGTTAGTTTCATTGTGTCTTCGTACATTATGCAGATGTTCCTAGTTTTACGTGGTTAAATTGAACATGTCAATTTGACAAGTTCAATTTTCCATTTTTTAATGACGCTTGTCGTAACGAGCAAATGATGTACATATGTACACTGGAGAACAACTTAAATTGTGCACTTTTAGACATCTGGTATTGAATCATTACGAATCATTACCCGACGGAGTATTTACATATATGACTCTACCGGCATCGGTAATATCGATTGTTACGGGGTAGTAACGTTGTGGTAATGAAATCGCTACCACTCAGAATTAAACTATAACCAATCCGATATTGAATTATTACCAAATCAATACCAGTGCGGAGTACATATGTGACTCTACCGGATGCTTTACAGTGTATAGTAGAAAAATTGTTCTATCTCGCACATTGACAACTATAAGGGCTTGAAAATTTGCATGTATTTAGTACCCCAGAAAGATTGTCGTTGGATGTCGTTCATGTTTTCGAAAAATCTGAAGATGGTCAAAGGTCCGTGACCTTTGACCTTCTTCAGATTTGTGACCATAGGTCACAATGTTTGACCAAAAAGCTCATTTTTTGACCCTTACAGTGATTTTTTTCCTTCGAGGCTTTATTTTTCGATCGACACCTAAACTCAATGTGAACATTTTGATATCTTGTTCACTTCTCTATAATTTTTATTTGAAGGAGAATATGACTTTTTTAAATTGAATTTTGCGAATTTTTCTCCAAATCTAACATAAGCGCAATGTTAAACTATTCCATTTTTTTAAAATTCATAACATGGATTGAACTGTTTTTCTAACGTACAATTAAATTTGTGAGCCACTGTATTCTGCTCAATCGTTTCTCACCACTCAACAAATCTCACACTTCGATTTAATTAATTGATACGAACCTACTTATCTCCTCCAAACTGATAATGTTGATCACGCCATTATGTAATTTTGGACTGGATAATTCATTGTCTCATTCTGCAAAATGCATTCCTCCCCAATAAAAGTAATCGTGCTGGTGGTTGCACTTTTTAAAATTTGCCACGTTCAGGCCCTTTGTCCCCCCTCGGATTCCCTCGTCCCTTGCATCTGTTCCCAATACAATGGTTGGGAGGTTATTTCCTGCTCCAATATTCGCGGGCGTATTAACTTTGCCCCAATTTTTGCTCGTGATTCTTCCGCTATAAAAAACCAAAATTTGTCTTCTTACTCCCTCACCTTCAATACTTTGAGGATCACGGGGTGCTCTGGACTTTTAGAGATCCCGCGAGGATCTTTCGCCGATTTGAGTTTCCTGTACGTTGATATCAGCGCGAATCCAAATCTGGATTGGATTTCTCCGCGAGCCTTCGACAAGTCCAGTTACGGTGTAACGAAGGAGTTGCGACTGTACGACAACTATCTTTGGAATCCGGCCCCTTACACAAACGATATTTTCAAATTTGTTACAAATTTCAAGGTAAAATTATGTATCTCATCAAAAATCGGCTCTCAATAATCTGAAGAATTTAATAAGAACATTAATATATTGTTAACATAATATTTACAGCCACGTAACGTCCATATATTACGCCATCATTTTAGTGGGTAGATGGTTTAGCTCTTCCTATCTTTCCCATGTTAAAATTCCCTATCCCCAAAAGGTTTGTGTTTGGTGGGTGGATGCTAAAATCGAGAATTTTTGATGACGTAAGATATGTATGGCCCCCTAACATTACATACGTTGGTAGTAATTTATCACCTAAATGGAAGATACACTCGGTACATGTACCGAGTTGCTAAGAGTGCATAAATTCAGTTTGCTATGCAAAACCAGTGACACGTCGTCGTTAATTATAATGACTACATTTCAAAGTAATTAATGTTGCGATTATAATTATGTAATTGGTTTTCTAGACTTACAAAGGAACCTTAAGTACTGTCACCTCTCGATTTCCTTTGGAATAGCCTTAATCGACAGATAATTTAGTGAAACTAAAACTTTGTCATAGAACATGCGGTGCAAAATCGCGTTTTCGCGAAATATTTGGCGAGAGCTGCACCAAAACCTTCCATTTGCCCAATGCTTTTAACATAGCCACCAGCCTTTCGAATGATGAAATGAACTTTATAGAATCTCAATCAATTATATTTGTACCCGTCCGCGTAATTTCAGCCCTTCCCCCCGCCTAGTCTCACATTGCCCCAGCCCAGTCTCACATTCCCCCACTAGATGGCGCCAAAATATTTAAATTATGATGACACGAGGGACTTGATTGAATGACAGAAAGAGTGAGGAAAATAGGTGAGTGAGGGGAATGCGTGATGTGAGAAGAATGAGGGAGTGAAGGGAATGAAGGAGTGAGAATGGGATTGATGAGTGAGTGAAGCCTCACTCAGCCTTCCTTCACGCGAATGAGGGGAGTGAAGGGCTACTTGGCCCGAGCTGAAAGTGAGTGAAGTTGAATGAAGCGAAATTCGCTTGCACAGGTATGATTGTCATATCTGCAGGTATGAGCGAATAAAGGGAAAGCTAATTTGTTGAACAGTTAAAACATGCTAACATTGCAAAAAATTCTACATATTGAACTAAAAAATTGCACGCACTAAGTTTTTGCAACTTGCAAAAATAAATACCACAAATAATTACGAAAATCACGTAAAAATAGATCATTTAACATATTCTCATGAAAAATTGCGAAGTTCAATTTTTTGCAAATTTTTTTAAATTTTTTGCAATAAGAAAAGTATATTTTATATCAGTTAAACTGATAAATTTGTTGAATTTAAAAAAAAACGAAGAAATTCAAATTTGCGGATATTTTCATTTTTTCGCAATTTGCAAAAAATTTGCGAATCTTTGCACCAATTTTTGCATATTCGTGATCGAGCTGAAATTACGCGGACGGGTACAAATATAATTGATTGAGATTCTATAAAGTTCATTTCATCATTCGAAAGGCTGGTGGCTATGTTAAAAGCATTGGGCAAATGGAAGGTTTTGGTGCAGCTCTCGCCAAATATTTCGCAAAAACGCGATTTTGCACGGCATGTTCTATGACAAAATTTTAGTTTCACTAAATTATCTGTCGATTAAGGCTATTCCGAAGGAAATCGAGAGGTGACAGTACTTAAGGTTCCCTTGTTAGAAATTCCGTACTATATATATAGTGGCGTTGGAGAACTTTGACCTAAAAATGGTTAAAAACCGATTTTAAAAATGTAAAATTTTGAAAAACTCGTCTTCCGACTTTCTCCCTTTGAAATGGTGTAAGAAATTTATTTATGAAGGAAAACTTTTGAAATTTTGAGGACAGATATATTATACCAAAATTTGAGATTTCTAGAATCATTTTTTGAACATTTTTAGATCAAAGTTCCCCATTGCCACAATATAAATAGTACCGGATCTCTGTTACAAGTGTTCCCAGTATGCAAATATAAATATTCCTCCTATTTTGCCACTTTTTGCCACCCACAGATGCTAGAAAAAGTGGATCTCGGAATGAACAGGATTTCTTCCGTTCCCAAGAATGCATTTGCCTCCGCGTCCACCATCCAACGGATAGATTTTCGGTACAACAAGATCACGTCCATTGGACAAAATGCCTTCTCCGCAACGACAAATCTGACCCTTCTTGAATTCACTTACAACTCCATAACCCCCGCTGGAATTCATCCCCAAGCATTCTCAGGTATACATGTTCAAACAAAAAATATTCATTCAAAGCCTTCAAGAAAATATTCATTATTAATTCACTCATTCATAATTTGTAAAAAAATATTCATCAATCATTCAACATTTATTCATTATTCACCATTCCTTCATTCTGCATTTTATTCAAAATTCACAGTATTAGATGAATTTCTCAACTTTCCCTATGCATTAAGCCTTGAGTTAAAAACGAATGATGAAAAAATTATTCATTTATTATTTATTCACACGAATTGAATAGATATGCACTCAATACTCAATATTCATTTATTCAAAAATCAGAGTAAAATATTCATTCAATATTCATTCAAATTTTGAATATTGAATGAATAATTTATTCATTCATCATTAAATGAATACTTGTGGACATGTATGTTCTCAGGTCTCGGAAATTAACGATTCTTGGACTTCATAAGAATAATGTGACCACTTTGGATCGAACTACTTTCAAACCTGTTCTGGACACTGTGAAAGAATTAATTGCTGGATTTGGATATTGTAATCCATCAACGTGCTACTACGACTACCTGCTCTGTGACCACGACGCGGATTGGATTTGTGACGGAAAGGAAAAATATCGTCGTCCTAATTCTGAAAACCCCTAAGTGCAGTCTCATCTTAATTTTAAATACCCCTAAGTGAAACTGCTTCGTAATTTTAAAAAGCCCTAAGTGCCGTCCCTCGTTAATTTTAAAAACCCCTAAGTGTATTTTCGCATTAATTTTAAAAAGCCCTATGTGATACATAAAAACGAGTAAAAAGCCCTAACTGCAATTCAAATTTAAATTTCAAATTATGCATAATTAGATGTGATAAAATACTATACATAGATGTGATAAACTCACACTGTGTGAAATTTTTTTACCACAAATTAAATTTTGAAGATATGTATTAAACTTACCTGTGCCATTCTTACTAGGATTACAAATTTTTCCGCAAAATTTCAGAAATTTCAAATTTTTCTCAAAAATTTCAAAAATTTCAGAAATTTCGAATTTTTCTGATAAATTTCAGAAATTTCGAATTTTTCTGAAAAATTTCAGAAATTTCGAATTTTTCTGAAAAATTTCTCAAATTTCGAATTTTTCTGAAAAATTTCCCAAGTTGAGAATTTTTCTGAAAAATTTCAGAAATTTCGAATTTTTCTGAAAAATTTCTCAAATTTCGAATTTTTCTCAAAAATTTCTATTTTTTTCATTTGAATTTTTTTACAAATAGAAAATTTTGGAAATTTGACAGTGAAGGTGAGAATTAAAAAAGTCCACTATATTTCGTGAGCGTCCTTTGTAAAACATCTAAGAATGGCAGAATCAAAATTTAATTTCAAAATTTAATTTGTGATAAAAAACGTCACACAGTATGAGTTTATCACATGTATAGTATTTTATCACATCTTATTATGAATAATTATGCATAATTTGAAATTTAAATTTGAATTGCAGTTAGGGCTTTTTACTCGTTTTTATGTATCACATAGGGCTTTTTAAAATTAATGCAAAAATGCACTTAGGGGTTTTTAAAATTAACGAGGGACGGCACTTAGGGCTTTTTAAAATTACGAAGCAGTTTCACTTAGGGCTATTTAAAATTAAGATGAGACTGCACTTAGGGGTTTTTAGAATTAGGACGACGATATGTCGACAAATTGATGGGTTTTAGATGTTTCGGGGATGAATATGAAGATATTTGGGAGTATTGTGAAAATAAGGGAAGGTCTAATTTGATTTTTTGAATGCAGAAGTTTGTTTTGTCCACATATTTATTCAGATTGAATAAATTGAATTCACAGCATTAAACGCACATGCGGAAGAAGCTTTAGCGATTTATTTGAGGAGAATTTACAATTTAATTCTCATTGTATTTAGGTATTTGTATCCTAAATATTTAGTTTCCACAGAAAATTTAGTTTACCCCAACCATCGATTGTATTTTTTATCATTTCACCCAGCCATCGATTTTGTTTCATCCCATTTTACCCCACTTATTACGACAGCGTGAGAGCAATTAATTTTACTGTATCTCATCTATGTATTCAATTTTTGCTAAATTCTCATTTTGCTCCGACCACACCCCCTGGAGCCGGAGGGGGGGGGGTACTTAGGTGCACTGTGATAGAATTGCAATCAGCATTGGTATGTTCAACTTACAGAGAAGGAAAAAGATAAGAAATAGATTTGCACAACTATATAATTATGAGACAAATGTAAATATTTACTATTCATACATTTTTTGCTATTCCGAGACACTTCGCATTTAGGCAACTTGAATATTATTTATGAGAAATTTTACCTTTATTTAAGACTAGGTAATATTTAAAATCGCATAGTTTGCAATGAACGTGCCAAACCCAAGAGTAGCTTAGGTTTGTAAGAATCTCTTAATTTTTTGAAACCGAAATTCCTGTTGACACGTATATATTATGTTTTTCATAATATAATTTTGCAAATACTCTTGATGCTTTATGCCAAAATAACTAAATATGTACAAACAAAACTCTCCAATAATGATGGCTACCATGGACTTCGTGAGTGCAAGTTTGAGTAAATAGATAAGTAAGTAATGCATCACCATAATCTCGTCAAGATAAAAACATCCAGTAAATTATCTTTTATTGATATGTATATGTATGTACCCATTCATCGTATAATATGATACGAACAGAAGTATTTATGCTTTATAAATTTTTGAACTATACATACATACATATATAGGCTAGTGAATATGTAAGGGTTATAATGATGTATATGTACGTATTTCTAAACATTCAATACGTATAATTCCAATAATTAACAAATACATATGCAAATAAAATTATTTAAATGCGCAAATGTACTTATAACCCTGAAAACTGTTTAAATTACTTGTGCATCATCAACAGCAAATCGTTCGCGGTTGGGCGCTTCGTCTGGTCAACTTCTATCATCGCTTTTAAAAGGTCAATCCGATCAGGGCCCACACCACGTTTCTCCAGATTACTAAATATTACCCCACCATCGCCCAAAAGCAGCGGTGGAATCCTAGCTGTTTTCTCCAACTCGTCTTCAAACTTATGCAATAGTAGCAAATACGTAATACCAAGAGAATATAAAGGGTGTTAATAAAGTCCGATCCCATTTTTCCTATAAAAAAGTGAAGGCTAGTATAAAAAAAACTACCCGTGATACTTACAAAAAATGTTCGACATATTTACCTTAGTATTTGGTCTTGTTACCATTTACTTTAACCATGCCCTCAACTCTTTGTTTAAGGCTCTGTGCTAATTTTTCCAATGTGTCTGTGGGAATCGAATTCCATACATCTTGAACTTTTTTTACTAGCTCTTCCCTCGTCCGGGGTTGTGGTTCTTTGTATACATTTTCCTTAAGTATGGACCACAGGTTCTTCAGGGGATTCAAATCTGGGCTGTTTCCGGGCCACACCCCCTTGCTCCAGACCGTTGAAACTTGCGTCTTGATGAGACTCAAACTCGCTTTTGCTGTATGGGCTGTAGCACCATCCTGCATGAAAACTATTTTTCTTTCATTCGGAAATATTTCCTTATTCCCCATGCTATCGAAATAGATAGGTAATATTTTTTCCATATAATACTTTGCATTGACTGTTTGGCCTTTTGGTATGATATGTAGAGGAGTCACGCCACGTGCACAAAATCCACCCGCTACCATAACTTTAAGCCCGAATTTTGGGACTGCTCTTGATGGTACATCCGATTTGTTTTCTGTCCTGTAACGAACATTTTGTTGGTTCAATTTTGGATATAGCTCAATAATAGATTCGTCAGTCCAAAGGATGTGACTGCGCAATTCTTCACCAAGTCTTTTTTCACTCAAATGGCCACTTTTCTGAAGGAGTTCTCCAAATTTCAGACGGTCATCGATATTTTTTTGTGACATGAGAGGTTTTTTGGTTAGTTTGTAAGCTGTGTGACCCCACCTCGTAGATTTCACAAATTTTTGCACGGTCACATAGTTAATTTGCTTCTTCTTCTCTTTATAGCGTTTTGAGTCATTTAACTCCCTTGCACAATTACGTAATGAACTACCGGTTTTCTTGTAAAGTCTGTTTTTAATCATTCTCTTTGTGGTAGGTGACACCTTTCTGGGTCGCCCGGGTCGCTTTTTGTCGTGGACAAAATTTTTGTTCTTCCATTTCCAAACAGTTCTGCGGCTGCAGCCCAATTTTTGCACAATTTCTGCAGGTTTAAACCCCTGCTGATGCAATGTTTGTATCTTAACTCTAAGATGCTCATGACTTACACGTTTAGTTGTTCCTCCCATGGTAAAAATTTGAAATAAATAACTTCACTGGTTCAAAAGTTCCAGCTGAATTTGTAACAACCGCGCTCCAAAAAATTCATGGGATCGGACTTTATTAACACCCTTTATGTCCGTTTTGTAATCATATGTATGCCTCCTCATCATTTCTGGGTTTCTAAATGTCTCACATCCTGTGTCACCTGTGAGTGACATATTTAAAGCCATGTCGCGGGATACTCCAAAATCCGCAATTTTTACAACAAAATCTGGTTCTAACATTAAAATATTGTTGGGTTTTAAGTCCCTATGGATTATTCGTTCCTTGTGAAGGTACGAGACACCAGTTATGACTTGATGTATGATTTTGTCAACCTTGTCAAGTACCCAGTAGCGTTTGATGACGGGATGGGATCAGGCCCCGATCTAGCCCAAAATCTTACCTGGGCAAAGAATTTAGGCGCCCCAAGCCGCTCGCGCCTTCGGCGCTCGCATGTCGCTTTTTACTGAATCAGATATTATTCAGATCAAAATATTCTTACCCAAGCCTTGTTAGAATGGACATATACAATGAGCTCCTACAGCTTTAATCTATAATAGGTTAAAATTGCGTAGTAAGGCATGTCCAGAAAGTAACTTAACAGTACAAAACGAGACGCTTAATTCCGATCTTGCGAAACTATCAAATTTAAATTTATGGCATTCGAAAGACAAATGATGATAGTCGAAGTCATCAAAGTTTGAAAACGATCCGACTAAAATGAACCAAATGCGGAGGGGTGAAAGTCAGGACTCGCCAAACGTGTTTTTCACGGCCTAAAACGTGGCTGAACGATAGAAGGAAAAATTGCAGGACAATTTTACTGCTTGAAGGACCTCTAAATTTGCAATCTACCGAAGTATTGGAAGGTATGGGGAGGCTGCTGAAGATTGAAATACATTGATGGCCACACCCCCATCAAATCCCCCCTCAAAGAGATATGTTGCGTTTGCATTAATTTCAATATGCATTTTCCCATATTCCTTAGCAATTATGATTAATAGATGGAAATGGATCTTTCTACCGTGTTCCAAATTAAAGCCCATAAACCAGGCTTCACTGCTCACACAAACAAGAAATTTCCAAATTATGTCGAGGATCAAGAGAAATGAACAAAAACTGGTTTGCGAAAAGTGCATGAAAAATGCTTGGAGAAATTACTGGTCATTGACGATGGAACCGGGTCACATTTAACTCATCTCAATTTCCGGAAGACAACTTTTTCCATCCCCTAGATCATAATGAAGTGGATGATGAACCGAAATTATAGAAAATAACAAAATCCCCCAAAAATGACTAATTTTTCAAGCCAAGGATGAGTTTGGGGATATTTTGGAACCCCATAAATCAAGTGTGTCTATGACCACAACGTGTCCCTGCAAGAGTTTGTAAAAAAGCGGTTATTAGAGACGTTGAGCGAGAGTACATGATTGTAAAAAATTCACTGTAGTTTAGAATCACAATCAAAATCCTGGATTGTACCTTTCGGAGGTTGAGCGAGAATATTTTATGGGAGGATTGTACTTCTGATTAATTTCTGCCGGCAGATTTGAAATTATAAACAATTGTTTACAAGTCCAAAAGTGACAGACAGTAAAATGTCCACCTTAAAGTTTAATTCAAGTTTAATTAAATTGGGTGTGCTCACTGGTGATTGTGATGCCTTTTTGTTGGCTGCTGCAGCAAAGCGGATTAACAAATTTAACAAATCTACATTTTTCTGTTTTGATGAAATCGAGGTTTCTCGTTTCAAGTTGGATTTTAGATTTGAAAAAGCGGACATTTTGCGATTGAAATCAGAGTTACGGGTTCCAGATGTGTTAAAAATGCCTAATAGGACAGAATTCAGCGGACTAATTTGTGAGCCTTCCTGACATAATAATTACACTTGTAATTGATAATAATTTTATGGGTCCTTTCCATATATTTCAGGCTTGTGTGTTATGCTACGACGCCTTGCTTATCCTAATCGACTCTCAGATCTACAAAAGTACTTCGGATTTTCGCCTCAAGATTTGTCCTACATTTTTAACTCAATGATTAATCATGTTTATGGCAATTTTTATCATCTTCTGACATCTCTCCAGTTATGGTGGTTATCTCTTGAACATCTTAAAGAGTTTTCGGGAGCTTTGGTCAGGAAAGGGTGTCCAATTCCATCTTGTATTGGGTTTATAGATGGTAAATTATGGCAAATAACAGAATTATGAAATTTTACATTTAACATGTTTACAAGATCTGCATTTAATTTGCCAGGAACCTTGCACAAAACTTGTCGGCCCACTCGATCCCAACAAGAAGTTTATAGCGGTCATAAACGGTCGCACGGACTGAAATATCAATCGGTTGTGACTCCAAATGGAATGGTTGCAAATTTATACGGACCTATCCCAGGGCGAAGGCATGACTCATACATGCTACATGAAAGTGGGTTACTTGACAAATTAGCAGTTCATTTGGGTGGTCAAGAAATGTACTTGTATGGCGACAGTGGATATCCACTCCACAGAAGCTTAATCACTCCACATATTGGAAACCAACTTTCAGACCAGCAAAAGTTATTTAACTTAACGATGAGCAAATTGCGGGTTTGTGTAGAATGGGAGTTTGGTGAGATAGATAAACAGTTTACATTTATTGATTTTAAAAAGAACTTAAAAATATTTCTGCAACCAGTGTCAAAATATTATTTTGTAGCTACCATTTTAAAGAATTGCCAAAATTGTTTATATGAATGTCAAACATCGAAGTATTTTGGGGTTAAGCCTCCGACACTCGAGGAATATTTGAGAAATCAAAATCTAAACTAATCACAAACATGTTCTAGAAATGAATGGAAATAAATCAGTTTATTGCATGTAAGCTATTTAAAATGCTATATTTCACATTTTTTCATGAGCAATTGTAATAGGGCTGTCTGTGTTGCCATCTGACTCTTGCGTTCTTCCTCTCGAAGGATTAATTCTTTTTCTCGCAATTTAAACTCTTCTTTATCTTTGTCCCGTTGATGATTAAAACGGTCCCTCTCCAACTCGAATTGCTGCTGTTGAAGGTCTAATTTTTTCTTCTCTAGATCACGGTCGACCACTTTTTCAGCGCGCTCGGCGTCATAACGTTGCTGTTCGACATCAAGTCTTTTCATTTCTTGCTGGCGCTCTGATTCCTGTTTCTCTTTCCACAAATCGATTAGAGTAGAGTCAGTTGGACGCTTCTTTGGAACAGGGCCAGGATTTTCGGGGCTCGAACCTAGTAATCAAGGTTAAAAATGTCACCTACTATCCAGCATAATTCATTTGAACAATACAGAACACCAATACAAATTAAATTAGCATTACCACTTCTCTTGATCGTTGTACAAGCAGCAACACGTATCTCTTCAGCCTTTAATTTACTATCGTCAAGTTTTTTCTGTTTTGCTTCTGTGTGACCTTTTTCCAATAGCTTCTGATCATCAATTAAGGACATTAGGTCGTTTAAGAGCCGCACTATTTCGCAAACCTCTTCTTCAATTCCGGACCTGGTTAAAAAATGTCAATAAATATCTAACCAGTGGTTTTATTCTGATGTGTTTGAATATTTGTCACCCGTATCTATTCTTTGTTTCTTCCTTACGGTGTGCTTCCAAAACTAAATCAAACCGTCGATGGACAGCGAGCTTGTCCAGTGATAATTCAAATAATTTATTTATAGAACCAGCAATCGTAGCCCATGCGTCGCCCGGTTTTACTGAGGAGAATGGGGTGTGCGCCAAAACAGCCTTAACTAGGGCAAGGTCATGATTCAATTTCCATCTAAATTGTTTCTTCCTCTGCTTTCTCCCATCAGCAACAGCAGCGTCTGCGTCGTCTCGTTTTCGCTCTTCTTCCTGCTAACGATTTAATAATTGAATATTTAAATAGGGTTGAATTAAATAAATAACCATTTGCAAGTACCTCTGCAAGTAATTGTTCCATATTCTGCACTTCCAATGAATCGTTACAACTCAAATATAAAGAGAGCAATGAGAAATATTTTGACCAATTTTTTTCACTTATTATTTTTTTCGGAAAACAGTGATTTTTGGATGACTGTTTAGAAACGCATACAATACAATGCTGGTTGGAGACAGAGATTTGTATTTTTGTGTTTGACTAAAATTCTGACTAATATTTGATTTTCCCGCTGGGTTTACAATCGCAAAGTACAATCATGTACTCTCGCTCAACGTCTCTATTATCCTACATACATAAGCATCAGAAAACAGAAGATGTCTTATTTTGACCGGACTTATCAACATCAACGTGTCAGATTGCAAAATTGTGACCAACTACTTGTAGGAAAAAACATTGAAAATGCTCCCAAACAAATTAAGCCACCAAATGTCTCCCAACCTCGCGGGATTGGAAAGTTTTTAGTCGACGTGAGGAGCCAAAAAATGTGAAAGGTTTCAAAGTAATTCAAGCGAAATTTTTAAAGCTGTGGCATAAAAAGTGGAAAAAAGCGTTTGGTTCATAATTCCAAAATAATTGGCTAAATTAGATACAAAAGGGTCAGACAGACAATGAGAGGCATTATTAACAGGTGGAAGCCTTAAGCATCGTGAATAAATTTTGCACTTTGGGTTGTGCCAAGTAGTTTTAATATTACACGAAGTTTAAAACTGTTAAGTTACTTTCTGGACATAGTATATTGAGCAGACCTATATTACGTAATACAGATAATTTTGGGGTCGGGCTTAGCAAATTTTCGAGATACATGCCAAAATGTGCAAATTTTTTGCTAATTTCTTAAATCCTGATTTTGGCACATTGGCTAGTTTCTGCATGGGCGCACCACTGGTTCGGAAAATTGCGCACCGAACCACACCGGGTGTAGTTCGCGGTATGGTTCGCCGGGTTTTAGATTTTTGCTGGTGTGGTTCGCGGTGTGGTACGCTGGTTCGGAGGTGTGGTTCGCTTTTCGTTAATCACAATTGACCCTTTTAGCCTTTGGCGCCATTTTAAGATTTGGTGTAAATTTTGGTCAAGAATGATTCAGCGTCGTTTTGGACGAACAAAACTTTTTTTAAATGTCTAACGGAAAAATTTGTAAATTTACATAGGCTTCTGTATTCATGACGTTTTTGTAAATATTTTTACAGATATAATGTCCTTTCAATTTTGGGAAATGTAATTAGCAATACAACGAAATTTATTAAATCTAAATTCCAAAAATTGGAGAAAAATGTGAGTCGGTGAAAAGAAGTTTTAGCGCTTCAAAATTGTTAGTCTAAATTTTGAAAATTTAAAACTTCAGAAATTTTACTACACTGATTTAGATAGCGCTTAAACAAGTGAAATTAAATTTTAACTTTTTAGATAGTAAGTTGTTTAAAAGAACTTCTTTTACATATTTATTGGTGAGTATTGCAAAAATTGGGGACAAACCCACGCCGCAATTGGAAATATGCCTTCATTTATCGACTCAATGAGGATCATTTACATGCAAAACCCAGATCACCATAAGGCCAATTTTATTTTGTTCACCAAAGAAATAAAATCGTCCCCGTGTTTTTTGAATTTTGCATTTTTCATAAGGTGGTAATTTGAGTGCGAATTTTAAGTTGTTTTCCAGCCAAAACCTCGGTTTTTTAAAATTCTGTAAATTTTCTAATTTTAATTAATCTAATCCAAAAGTTTGAAATCATGTCTCTTCAGATTGCCTTACTTCATTTATAAAAAAATCCACATGCAATATTTTTTGAAAATTGAACGACTTTATAATTTTAATGAATTTCAAATACTGACAAAGTATTCTGTAACTAAATTTGGAGATAACTGATTTTTTCATAAGCCAGGTAAGTCATCCTGGTGAAGCATGTTTCCGAATTTTTGGATTCGCGCTAAAACTCGAAAATTTTAAAAACCGAGGTTTCGGTTGGAAAACATACAGTTTACAATTTGCTCAAAGTAGCGCATTATGAAAAATGCAAAAGTGCGGTGATGCTTATTTTCTGTGGTGAAGAATACCAAATTAATCGGATGATTAGTCGGAGATTCGATGTTTACCTGTGAAAGACCAGCATAGTGAGTCCTCTTTGACATTTCTCAAAAATTGGAATGATATATATAAAACCACAATCTTTCTGAACTCTCCATATGCTACGTAACCAATGCGAGATGGAACAGTTGTTATATCATACAATTTATTTTGCTCCCCAGCGTAAACTCTACATAAATGCATTGCCAACATATTATTTTAAATTTAAGTTTTAGAGTTTTACTTTGCTCAATTTACATGTTGAGCAAAGTAGAGGTTAACACAACAATTGGGTGCATCAATACATCAGAACTGTCGCAATGAGTTGTCTAAACTTGATAAACATAAAAACTCCAAGAAAATATTTTCAAAGTTTACAACAGGAAAATTCAATAATATCTAGTGTAAACCCGGGCGCCTGCCGGCGCCCCCCAGGGGTTTGGCGCCCCGGGCAGCTGCCCGGGTTGCCCGCCCCTAAATCGGGGCCTGGATGGGATTGCTATTCATCCAGGTCTGCAAGTTATGATCACAAAGCTCCATTTTGATAAATAGGAAAGTTTTCTCTTCATCCTCACTAAGGATGGGATTTCCGCCTGCGTCAAGTTCATATCGATGTGGGAGAATTGGTGCATTTTCAGCATATCGTTCGTAATACAAATCCGCAAGTGGTCCAGCGAACCAACTGTCGTAGTAGCGTACAATGTTTGTCGTGTTTTCTATTCTTGACATGATTTTCACCTCTCGTAATAATCGCTGTATATAGTCGGTCGTTTCTTTGCCAGAGTTTGCGATGAATTTAGCGATAGAAATCTGTTTCAAGGCGTAGTTAACGCCGTCCAAGTGAGTTTTCGATGTTGCATGAAACACGTCTCCAAACGTTCCTTGATCTATTCGTTCAATAATTTGTATTCCTTTGGGAGAAAGGAGTGTGTTGATGGATGCGAATAACGATCCACGCAAATTAGTTGATTGGTCGCCTGCACTCTAAACAAAGTTGAGCAAAGCTGGTTGAGTAAAATGAAGTTGATCAAATTGTGTTCAACGATGGACAAAATTTATGCTCCTAAAGCGTAAAATTTACACAATAAAGTTGACTAAAGTAAGTTTTACTCAACATTGATCAAAATTTGACTTTTTTTATGATCAAATATAAAATTAATCAATGTTGGGCGATAAATGAACAACAAGTTGATTAATTTTTACTCAACGCGTTAATTAATTTTTACCCAACTCTGCCTATTTATCAGCCACACGGATGCTGTCAGTTGGTTACAGCAAGTTAAAAAAGGAGCAGCAGTAAATTGACTCCTCATTTTATAAAATTTCTTCAAATTACCGGTTGACTCCAATATGCAGATAAGTTCAAAGGTAAGGTGATTTTAATGTATTTTTTTTTGCACATTTGGTCATTTTTGGCAATAAATTGAAATATTTATTTGTGCTAATTTTTTTTATAGAGAATGATGGTGGCGACAAAGTTTTTTTAGTTCCTGGACGGTGCCGCTGGTTCGTTTGCTGAAATAATTTCATCAGTTATTTAATTAAAATCAAAGCAGCTAGAGAGATTAGTGGATCTGTCAAAATTTTAATTGTGTTTAGAATTTGTAAGTAATATCCAACTAAATTTATGAAAATTAATATTTTTGTTCATATGTACAATTTATAATTATAACATAAAATGAGTACCAATTACAATAAATAATGAGTTTTAATAAGGTAAATAATCTATTTTAATCAGCATAAAAAGCAACCTTTGATCAACCAAAGAGTAAATTTTAATCATTCAGTTGAGTAAAAATTCCACAACGTGTTGAGTAAAAATTCCACAACGTGTTGAGTAAAAATTCCACAACTTGTTGAGCAAAAATTA